GGGAAAGAGAAAGCTAGGGGTGGAAGACATGGGTTGGTGCTCACAGTTAAATGATGCTAGGAGACCAGCAGTGAGGGGAACTAGCAAGTACGTGGGGGAAGGTAGATAGACCGAGGGCCCAGGCCTAATTCTATGAGTTGCTGCTGGGTTGAGAGTCAGGCAAAAGGCAGGCTCCCTTCTCATCAGTACAAGTTTTCCAGCTTTGCAATCCAGTTGGGGGTGGTGGTTTTGTCAGTTTTGAGACAGATAACTTGGGACCTGGCCCTAGCACTCACACAAGTATCCAAGAGCCATCCAGGGAGGATGGTGTGGTGGCAAGGCAGCCTAAACTGGCCCACATCCTTCTGTTCTAGCTCAGTCTGGTGGGAAGGGAACTGTGGCCCAGGGATGTTGCCCCTTCACGTTCACTGTGGGTAGTGTCGGCCCCTGACCATGGCCGCTGGAGACCTCCAGGCTTCTTGTACAAGACTGTAAGGACACTGTTGTGTGTGTTGAAGGATCAGGGCACAGCTTCTGTTTGGCCAGCAGGTCTTGAGGTGAGCAGTGTGACAGTAGGTGATGCAGCTGCTGGCAGCACAGACTGAGGTGAGCCCATCCATGAGGAGCGGATGGGATGGGGTGAGGAGGCTCTGAGCCAACCCTGGGCTCTCAGCTGCTCACAGAGGAAGCAGAGCAGGTGAAGCATGGTGAAGACTTGTCCATCTGACAGCAAACAGTGATCAGAGCCCAGAGGTAGAGGTTTGATTTCTAATTTTTGGATAGAATTTCATGGTGTCCTAAGGAGCCATCTGTGCTGTTACCTGCAGGCCTGGGTCAGGGATATTTCAGCCTGGCTGCTGGATAAGCTGTCAGTTCTGCTCTGGCCCTGGCCGGGCCCCTAGGGCCTTCCTGTGTGACTCAGTGACACCTGCCCTTCTCCTCCATTTCTTGACCTCCTACCTGCCTTTGAGGAGACAGAAATGGCTCTACATGATGGCACGAAGGAGTAAGTGTTCTGACGCCTCCGGCCAGGGCGTCTGCGTCATCTTGGCTCTGACTTCTTCTGTCCCACACATTCTGAAGGACAGCCCTTTGGAGGTGCTGCCTCTCTGTGCCTGTACTGCAGATGCCAGGTGAAATGAATCAAGAGCGGCAGTAAGCACTGTGCTCTAAGCCTGCTTGTCAGCAGTGCCTCTCCTCCGTGCCAGCACCAAAGCCTTGGCATCTCCTTCCTTCCTATATTCCCGTGCCAGAAAAGCACAGCCCACCACCTGAACAGCAGAGGAAAGAATGCACAGGGCTTCAGAGCTCACACTGCCAGCAAGACAGCTTGTGCTGCACAGGGAGCCCGGAGGGGACTTGGAGATCATTTGGGGATGGCAGGAAAGAACATTCCCTGGGTCCTTCTGCAGCATTGGCCAGCACAGCCACAGTAGTGTGGCTGTCCAGGAGCCCCAGCCAGCATCCACAGCAGCACTCTGTGGAGCCTTCAGCCTACCACTTCTTAGAGCAAGAGACCCTTGTTCACAAAACAAAAGACCCCTTGGCCCAGATCCCTGGCACTTAAGGCCAGAGAAAAAGGAGTAAGAAATGTGGCTTTTAGTCACAGCTGACTCCTAGGTGCATGTCCCAGATTAACCCTAACCCTGTGGGTATGCGCCTGCTCAGCCTGGATCCCCCTCATGGGCACAGGAAAGCCAAGCAGAAGAAGGGGCTTGAACAAGCACCTGTGGAACACTCAAGCCCTCTTGTAAGGACTGGGTTCAGCTGGAGAAGCATTAGCACTTGATTGTATTGTAGGTATCTTCAGCTCCCAGGATAAAGGCAAACGTGCCTTTTGGGAAGAGATTACTGAATTCTGATTCCCATATGATATGCTTTATCACTTTAAGGCAGACAAGCTGCTGGTGATGTTTATGCATAGTTTTAATAACTGCAGAACTTTTTCTTTAAATCACTCTGTAAAGCTTTTACCCTTTGGTAGCCATACTCCTTGTTCAGCAAACCCAGACAAGCACTAATGAGTCCCTTGGTCCTAGCGAGGTATCTGCCTGTTGTAGACATGGCAGGGAGGCAGAAGCACTGGTTTTGTAGCATCTCTTGACTCCTAGGGCCCTGGGGGAGACCCCATATGCTGTACAGGCTTTCCTAGTGAGAACCTGACGGTCGAGTGAATGGGCCTTGCTGTCTTACTTACTTACTGTACTTACTGTAGTGGGAGCCATCAGAAGTCGCTGGTGTTTCCATGACCAATCAGCCCATCTGACAAGTACATCACTCTTGGATGTTACTACACCATTAGAATGTTCTTAAAACATCTATGTGTAACCTATTTTCCAGGTAGCAGAAGGCCAGGAAATCTGTGTGATTGAAGCTATGAAAATGCAGAACAGTATGACAGCTGGGAAAATGGGCAAGGTATGTCCCCAAACTCCTACTAGTCTAATCCAGTCCCTGATGGATGCAAAGACCTCCACCTTTGAGACATGGGTTGGTCTCCTTAACTAGAATGTAGAGGTGATCTCTGCCCCCTGTCCGCTTCCTGGGGAGGATATTAGGACTTGGGAGCTCCACTCCGCCTCCCGGAGAGGTGGCTTTCCCAGAGAGGTGGCTTTCCCAGAAGGGTGTCTATGTGTTATGTTCAGGTAGTCAAAGCACAATCGTTCTCCACATTAATGTCTTTCAGACGAAGGGGTTTTTTAATTTTTAATGTTTACATCTGTCTCGGAGGCAGTTAGTTATCTGACACTTAGGCGACACAGCAGGAAATGGTTTTTACAGAGTGCACAAAATTAATGTAACTCTTCAAGATAATTTCCCCTTGAAGGGAATGGTTCAGTTGTAGATGGAGGAGCTAAAGCACCATGCACACGTGAAGGGCTTAATGATTCATGGAGAAAAAGATAGAGGTATCAGTACTAAGACAATTAAGACTACAACTTGAAGAAAACAGAAAGGCCCTGGTTTTGCTGTTCTTCCTGTGACTAAATCTAGTGATGGCAGTCATTCAGAGTATGTCTGTCCCCTGCACAAAGGATGTCTACATAGATCGTCACTGGGAGATGAGGACACATTTCAGGGACGTTGGGCTCAGAGAGAGAGATGCCAGTTACAACCAAGTCTGTTTTGTGGTCTGTTATCCTAACATGCAATGAGATGGATTCTCAGAAGGTAGAATATCCTTCCTGTTCCTCCTGGGGAAATTACAAGGCCCCCTGCAGGCTACGAGATCTCTCCTTTTGATTGGCACCCGTTTGGATTGTTGTGTAGTTGTTTGGTTTTTACAGGATGAGGCAAGGATGCACCAGTTGGGGGCCTGGGAGTCGTCCACAGCTTGCATTCTCTGAGATTGTAGGAGCTGAGTGACAGGACCAGGGGTGAAGTACAGGCTGCTGCGGGGACACCCCTGCACTCTCGTTCCCATTTCCGTTTCTCACTCTTCCCGACCATTTTAATTCAAGGTGAAATCGGTGCACTGCAAAGCCGGAGACACGGTTGGCGAAGGAGATCTGCTGGTGGAGCTGGAATGAAGTATTTCGAGCCTTTCAGTCATCACTGCTGTAATTAGCATTTCTATTATTCTCTAACCCTCAGTTTGTTCAAGTGCTTACAGGAGCACTCCTGTGCGGCAGGTTCTACAGCATCGTATTTATTCCTCACAAGAGGAAACACTGACGCTCTGCCAAAAAATCACCAATGGAAATTCTTACTGATATAAATACTTGTACATATGATTTGTACTTCTGCTGAGATTTCCTAGTGTCAAAATTAAATCAATAAAACCAAGCACTTGTCTAAATATTAGTTTGCCCTTTTTTTCTGAATGAAGACAATATACACAGAGGCAACAGGCTGTGCCAACTGACTGTAAGTACTAGCATTTCCTTGTGATCCTTAAAAATTTATATAAAATTCCAGTCCTATAATCTGATTACCTTTCTTCTTCCATCATTCAGGACGGATTCCTGGGGTCATTATGAAGGTTCTGGAAGCCCCTTCTGTGTGGGCTCACACAGTTGTCGCACGGGGTGACCGAAGAGTCGGATTACCATTTGAGGTCTGTAGACTCAAAGCATGCTGTCCAGGTCCCCTTTCCTCTCTCACAATGGCTAGGACGCCATACCTTCACTGCTGTGTGCAGTGCAGGCTGCCAGCCCGTCAGCTGATACCCATCTTTGCCTTTCTGTTTCGTGAAGCAAGTTTCTAATTAAGAAAAAGGGGCTAAAAATAGCAGTCATGTTTCTGTGCCAGGGCAGTTAGTGATCAGTCCCCCATTATGCTGAAGAGTGAGCTCGCTCTTAGCGGAGTGCCAGGGCACGCAGGCAGCAGCTGCATTTTGTTCTGCAATTCCTGGAATCCATTTTCTACTTTACTAGGAGGCAGAAGCAGAATCATGTGCAACGTGCATCGATGCTGACAGATTATCAGATGGAGGTGGACGGTAATTGGTACTTCGTGTCTTCCTAACATTATTTTAAGTGCTGTTTGTATTTGGAAGCAAAGCTTTCTGTCAGGCCTGAGGAACAAATTACTAACGTGTTGGTTCTTCTGAAAGGCCCACCCCCAAGGGCTGCATCTTCAGGTGGCAGAGATACGCTGGGCTGCTGAGAGCCGGGCACACGTCAAGGACATCAAGTCTGAGGGCTCAGCTGTCCCCCAGTAAGCCACTGCCCCTGACTTGGCTGAATCAGAACGAGAAACACCTTCTACCAAGTAGGTACACCAAATGGCAATAGCAGACTTACATTTTAGTAGTTTGTGTGTGATCTGGAAGTGTGCGGGGTTGATGGAGTACTTAGTCTATGTGCAGCATGCTTTTCTTGAAGATGTTTTTCCACTGAGCCATCCCAAACCAGCATTTTTCACCACTTCCTTCTAGATGACAAATGTGGGAATCAATACATTCAGCTGCTGAGATCCAACTGCAGCCAGGTCTTTAGTCACAGAAGATGCCATCTTCAGATTAGAGCAAAGCAAATCAAAACAGGAATGCCAGGTGCCCAAACTGTGCCATTTAGGGAACTTTGGACCAGAGTGTTTCACATAGCAAGCAATAATAGTAAGCAGCATCAGATTAGAGTATTTGCAAAATTTGTGTCAGATATTTTGCCAACATGTCTTACAGACGTTGAGCCAGGAAAGCTCTGCTAGGCAGCCACTGGGCTCCCTCTATCCTGTTAGCATCTGGGGCATGAGGCCCTCATCTGTTTTCCCGGGGGTTGTAGCGCAGCCCATGTGGGCCCTCGGAATCATAGCTTTTATGGTAGGGAAGAAGCAGCCACTCAGGTGGGTAGGTGATTGTGCTGTACACAAAGCACTGGAGGCTATCCACGGGGCCACCAGCACCCTCCCACTCGAGCACCCGCACCTGGAGGGCTCTGCGCTGGTACATGTTGGGACAGCCTTCAAAGTCATCCAGGAATCTCAACATCTGTTCGTCCACCTTGTAGATCTCACCTGCCACAGAATGGCCCTTGCCTGGCACATGCAGCAGCCATGGTATGTTGTGCTCTCCGGCAATCACCAGTGGGAAGGACTCAACTGTGCAGCCTCTGCCTTGAAAGACCGCTGAGCCATGTGACTGGTCCAGCATGACTTTGTGGTTGGGCTGGCCTCGTTTCAGAGTGCCGTACACGAAGATGTGGGCCATGTAGCTGCAGACACTGTGGAGGAGAGAGCAAGTAGGCATGGTGAAGAGCTCCCTCAGGGCACCCTCCAGAATTCAGGGCAGTACCATCACATTTCCTTCACCCTGCTGGCCCAGCTTACAAGGTAGAGGAGCCACAGTACCCTGGTTAAACTTTGCCTGTGGCCACAGAAGCTCAGATGGTTTTCATGTCATGACATGCTTTCTTTAGCTTTTTAAAAACAGAGGCACTGGGCCACCCTGCTCTGGAGTTTGTAATCCTACAAAGAGGAGCAGAGGTTACTGATTTTAAAAACTAGGGCTGGTGGCAAGGTGTGGGGTGGTGTGCCGCACACCCTCAACTTAGTCCTTGGGAGGGAGGTAGATCTGAGTTCCAGGTCTGCATAGCAAGCCCTAGGTCAGCCAAGGCTATCTAGTGTGACACAATATCTGAGCTAGGGGTATACCTTGAGACTCCCAGGCTTAGAGGAAGAACACTTACTAAGACCATGCTGTGAGTGTGTGGTAAGGAGATCTTCCATGTGTTTCTAATAACTTGGAGCTCAAGTGATCCTCCTACCTCAGCCTTCTGAGAAGCTGGCATTAGATACCTGACAAACAGCACCCAGAGCACTGCTAAAGAAGAAAGAGAAGAGCAGGCTTGTCAGCTACTCTGCACCACCAGGACAGACTGAGCCAGGTCTTCCAAAGATCTCAAGCACAGCCCACATATGGAGAGAGTCCCTGAGCATCTCAAGTAGGGGGATCAGGGTGGGGCTGGGATAGAAAGAGACAGCCTTTCCTCAGCTGGCTCACTCAAGTCTGTGACACCTCTCCCTCTGTTTCAGAACACAGTGGACCACGTCACCCCCAGAGAAAGGCTGCTGTGGTGACCTCTGAAAGCACACATGCCTGGGTGAGCAGCCACCCTTGACTCAGTGTGGTGGCACTGAGGTAGGTCCCTGGCCAGGCCAGCCACACACTGTCATACCTGTGGGGCCCATAGCTTCCTTTGAGCAGTGATTCTCAACCTTCCTCATATCGTGGTGACCCCCAACCATAAAAACATTTCATTGCTACTTCCTAACTGTAAATTTGATATTATGAATCACAATGTAAATGTCTCATTGACGCCAGAGGGATTGTTACACAGGGTTTGAGTAAGCACTAGTGTCATAGAAGGCAAAGGTCACGGTGACTCCCTTAAGTCTGGGCTACAGACTTCTATAACAACACGCAAAGACAGGAGAGGGTGCCCTCCACGCCTGTGGATGCTCTCTCCACGCCTGTGGATGCTCTGCTGCCCATACCATGGGGAGGGGCTTACCAGTGCAGGGACAGGAAACGCTGGCGAGCAAGCGATATAGAACCCTCGCCTGCCCAGCACCGGCCCCTCGAGGGAGGGACCCAGAGATGGATTCTGCTGCTGTTTGAAATTTCAGGGTTGTGCCTCCCTCCAAGAACAGTGCTTTAAGACAGTACTGTTCTGAATGAAAGTAGCCCCTGATTTTAAGGAGGATTAGGAGGGGAGAGTAATGAGCATAGCTGAGAGAGTATGGAAAGAAATGCAAAGCCACAATTATTAAGACACAAATTATCAATGAGAATACGACATTAAAAATTACACAATGACTGAATTAACACCCACATTTCAATAATTTAAATATAAATGCTTAAATTCTCCAATCAAAAGACACAAGTTAACTGAATGGATCAAAAAACAAAATCCATCTATTGTCTACAAGAAACAACTCAGCTTGAATTAGAGTATATAAAAGGATGGGCAGAAGTGCTCCAATCAGATTGGACCTAGAAGCAAGCGGGTGTCACTATCTTAATACCTGACACAACATACTAATCAGAAGAAAGAGGGAGACACTTTTTCTCCTTACCAAGGAAATAGATAAAATGGCATTACCATTCTAAACATATATATCCACCAAATTCTGGGGTGTCCATTTTTTTATTTCTACTAGTGGGATTAAAAGACAGATTACCATGAACCCATTAATAGGAGGTGATTTCAATATAGCTATTTTTCCAATGACAGGTGTCTTAGTTATTCTTCTATTGCTGTGAAAACACCATTGCCAGACAGCTTATAAAAAAAAAAAAAAAAGCATTTAAAAAAGAAAGCATTTAATTGGGAGTTTACTTACAGTTTTAGAGAGTTTAGTTCAAGGGAACATGGTGGCAGAGGCAGGTAGATTTCTGAGTTCCAGAACAGCCAGGGCTATTTAGAGAGATCTTGTCTCCCCAACAACCCTTCCCCCAAAATAATTCAGAAAGAGCACAAATAAATGGTTTAGTGATGCAACTACAAAAGTTAGAAAGTAAGAACAAACCAAATCCAAACTCAGTCATGGCAAGAATAAAAATAAGAGCAGAAATGAATCGAAGAAAACAATAAAAAAAAAAAAAATCTACAAATCAAAGTATGGGAACCTTGGCCCAACTAACCAAAAGAAATAAAAGAATCCAAACTAACAATCAGAAATGAACACAGAAACATTACCACAGACACTAAAGAAATTCAGAGTATTAAAAAGGAATACTTTAAAATCTATACTCCATTAAGCTAAAAATCCTAGAAGTGGGGGACCACAAAAATTAAACAAAGAAGTTATCAATCTATAGAGACCTGCATCAAATGAAATTGAAACAGCAATTAGTAACAAATATCCTTCCAATTAAGAAAAGTCTAGGGCCAGACTGATATATATTGTATGTAGAATTCTACCAGACTTTCAAAGAAGATCCATGGCCAATCCTTAAACTAGTTGAAGGGAAAAGGAAGAGGAGTACTCCCAACACAAGCCCTTTTAACACCAAAACTAGGGAAAGATTCAACAAACAAAACTGCAGGCCAATATATCCAATGGATATAGACTCTAATAAGCTTAACAAAATGCTTGTAAATGGAATATAGACATATCAAAAAGATCATACACCATGACCAACATGGCTTTTCCCTTGAAATATAGATAGTGCTACATATGAGAAATCCACAGCCAACATCATCTTAAATAAAGAAAAGCTTGAACCACTCTCATTGAAGTTAGAAGTGAGACAGGGCTGTCCACTATCTCTATACTTCTTTTCAATATTGTGCTCAAAGTACTGACCAGAACAAACAGAAGGAATCCAAAGGGATACATGCAAATGGGGAAAGAAGCCAAACTATTTCTATTTGCAGATAAAATAATGCTATACATTAGAAATTCCCCAAAATTCTACCAGAAAACTTATAGAAGCAAATTCAGCAATGTGACAGGATACAGAATCAATGTGCATGTACACACACACACCTTCATAAAACTAAATCAACAGAGGAAGCCCACAGAATGGGAGAGAATCTTTGTCACCTACATATCTATCAGAGGATATATATATTAGTATATAAAGAACTCAAAAAGCAAAAACTTAAAAACAAATGAACAATTTTAAAAAATGAGCCTGGGATCTGAACAGAGAGTCTGAAGGAGAATGGGGAAAAAAAAAAGAAGAAAAGTTCAGAGTCCCCTAGCAGGGACAGAAGAATCCTGCTCTGATGCTTCTAGCCCCTAGGATGTTGCTTTGTGAGATTATGTATTCAAATTGCCCCTCTCTTGCACACAGTTCTTTACATGACACTGGATTAAGTTAGTTCTGTATAAAAATGCAAAAACTTAGTTTAATAATAAGGGGTAGAGAGCACAAAACAGAGATGGCTGTTTGTCTTGGTGAACATTAAGTAGATAGCCCCAAGCCAGCCTGAACCAAGATTCTGAAGGATGAGTGAGTTCTGCTGCATCAGACACAATGTGGACCCAGCATCCCCAGTGAGTAACACACAGACACCTACAGTGGACACTTCAAGATACAGAGCCAGGTTACACTTGCACACAACTGCAGGTTTCTGAGAAAATTCAAGGCTCTGAACTTCTGTTTTCTTTTTTCTAGAGTTGGGTTCATGGTGTTTCCCAATGAGTTACTCTCTACTGGCTCTATTGACCACTGACTGTCAGCCGTAAGCATCCAATGACCTTGGATTTCTCTTTCCCCTGACCCTTCCCTCTCATTTCCCCAGGTCCCCACCCCGGTTCCTCCCTTTCCAAATGCTAACACTCAGTTCTTAACTCAGCTCCTGACAGGGCTACAGTGCATGCTTTGGTGGGGAAGGGCTCAAGCCTTATCAAGTAGTGCTTTCAGAACCAAGAAATGGTCTTGGGAAGAAGACACTATATCATGGATTCATGATATGAAAAACAATAGCTTATTTCTGTAAAAAGATGACTAGGCAAGGCCTTTTCTCAGAAGCATTTGGTAAATGAATCCTGGCTAATATAAAATCAGTTTGAGAACACTACTCAAATGGATGTAGTGCAACATTCACATTCTGCATCTCTGCCTTTCACCATTACCTTTTCTGATAGTGTTTTCAACAATGCGCACAGATCCTTCAGGAAGCAACTCGTCCCTGTGGGGATTGGGAAAGGATCTGAGTTAAGCACTCAAACAAGCAATTAATTCCCATTAGAGGATTAAGGAACTCATGCTCACTTTGAATCAGGGAAGCGAGTTGAGAGTGAATGTATGACCAAGAGGTTATTTGTCAAAGTGAATAAATTAAAGAGCTGCTAGACAAGACACATGACAGCAGCCAGGGGATAGGTAAGGTTTCATGTCTGTGGGATATGCTGCTATCTTCATTCTAACAGATGTGTCCTATAGAAGTAAGCCCAATTCCCTCATCTTACCTCCCTTACCACATATGTGCAGTCTAGACAGCCACACATGACTGTTTAGCTTCAGTTTTGCTGGGAGCTCTAGAGCCAATACTGAGTATATTTATGCAGTATCTCTGTGGATGAGGTCACAGATACGGTAAGGACCATGTGGAGGCCCACAGTGTCCAGACTGAGATGCCCCTGATTAGAATTGAGGAGTCCAAAGCAGAACCTTTGTCTCAAACTTTGTTATAACCTGGAATAATATGTCTACCCAGAAGCCAGCCCGAAGTTAGAGTAGGCTCAGCATCTCCAAATGCTTTGGCTC